AAAGGACGCGTCATCTAAGAGTAACGAAGCTGAGTGTAAGTAAAGCAAGTGTGCAAGCAGTTTCGTAGGACCTTATACATGGGTCAGTTGTAGGCAAGCCCGTCGCGAAAACTGCTAGTGTCACAGCAGTCTACCAAATGCCCGATGGTGTTGATAAGCGCTTCAGTCGATATATCAGTGGTAATACCTCTGAATATCGAATTAATGGCACTGTTAGTTGCAATTTTAAAGTATTTTATTCAAATAGCCTGTAAAAGTGGAGGAGTATGCCGATGCTCTCGAGAAAATTCACATTTTTATGAAGGTTAAAAATTTCCTAATCTTCCAAGGAGCCGTCGAGAGCATTGCTATGAAGAACGCCCGTGAGCGTTGTCAAATGTTTGAAGAAATCAGTCGGTCAGCTGAGTACAAGGAAGAATATGACAGGTCAAAGGCTGAAATGCAGAAGCTAGAAGAAGAAGCCACATTCAATCTTAATAAAAAGAAGAATATTGTTGCAGAGCGTAAAGAGGCTCGTATAGAAATCGATGAGGCAGAGAAATACAAGAAGTTGCATCATAAATGGGTAAAGTTTGCTCTAAATTAAGATTGTTTTTCCTTTCTTTGGCTAAAAATGTAGTCCCTTTAGCTCTCTAAACGGACAGAGTTGCAACTCTTCCGGCTATATTATAACGATGTAGATATCAAACGCATACGGGAGGATTTACAGCAGCGAGAAGAGATAATTGAGCAGGAGAATGCTCAAAGACAGCAAATAGAGGAAGAGATTCGTGATAAGCGTCGAGAATTGGGTAAACTTCATCGTGATCAGGCAGGCTTAGAACAAGAAATTAAGAAATGTGTAAGCACTCTCATTTTTGTAGTGTTCTGCTATTTTTCTTGAGTATTCTAAGATTAACTGATTTTAGGATCAGAAGGTTTCCAAACGCAAACCGGAGTATATCAAAGTATCACAGATGCTGCGTCATGTTAGTGACAAGCATAAAGAATCAAAGTATGTGCTGCATTATATTCGTCAATATTGTTACTAAAATTGAAGGAAGGCTTTGGAAAATGCTCGTCAACAACACAGCAGCCATCGTCAGGAAATGGATCAGCTGGAGGCTGAGTATTCTCGAATCCTAGCCCTAAAGGAAGATTATGAGCATCAACAGAACAAAAAGAGTAAGGAACAAGGTCGGTCCCTCGAACTGGAGGATTCACAAGTAAGCCCACACATGAGGTGTACCGGTGTTAACAAGATGATTTGGTTACTCTATCTAATTTATGCAGTTGGCTGAGTATCATAGGCTGAAGCAGAAGGTGGCTGAGCACACCTCAGATCTCTCAGCCCAACTCGATGCATTGAGGAGGGAATATGATGAGCAAAAAGACCTTTTCGATGGCCTTGAGAGAAGAAAGGAAGAAATCGGAAATTCTCTGCGTCTGAAGCAAACCGAACTTAGTGACAACCAAAGACGTCTCCAGAGGCTTGTTGAGTTCATTGAGTGCGTGTGGTATTTAAAAAATACATTTCTCCTCCACCTTGAGGCATTCCGATTCATATTCACTGCAACTTCACAGAACTAGTCACCGCTCTATAACGGAGCTATCGGAGGCCGAGAAGACAATTAGAGAGGAGGTTGAAAGCGCAACTAAGCGAATGGATGAAATCAACGCGGAGTTGGAGACTGTGATTTGCCAGTTGGGCGAGGCCAAGGTAGAACGCCACGAATCCTCTCGAGCAGTTAAAAAGCAGGAATTAATTGAGAACTTGAAGCGACTTTTCCCTGGCGTGGTGAGTCCATATTTTGATTGATGTTCTTGAGTTTTATGGGTGTCAATCTGAAGTTTTAAAATATCGAATGGCTGTTAGAAGTGCTAGTATTTTTTGTTTTATTTGCTGACTTAATGTTCTAGCATGGTCGTTTGCTGGAGATGTGCGAACCATCGCACAAGCGTTATCAGATTGCCATCACTAAGGTGCTTGGCAAACATATGGATAGTATCGTATGTGACAGTGAGAAAACGGCGAAAGATTGCATTCAGTATATGAAAGATCAACGAATTGAACCGGAAACATTTCTCCCTCTGGACTTCCTTGACGTCAAGCCCGTCGATGAAAAACTGCGGTAGGAAGTCCTCTTATTACATAGACAATAATTCTCATCGTATACGAAAATGCAAACTAGGTTTTGTTCAGGTACTTTGTTTTTTTTTCATTTCCTTTAGTGGTTCGTAAATAGCTTATATTGACTCTCACTGAACACCTTTTTTACTATGGTCTCATTAGTGAAATAAGTGATCCTCCGAACGTCCACTTAGTGATTGACGTTATCAATTGCGATCCCGTAATCGCAAAGAAGGCACTTCAGTTCGCTTGTGGCAACGCTCTTGTCTGTGACACTGTCGAGCATGCTCGTTACGTCGCTTACAATATGGGTGATCGTAAAAAGGTCATTAAACCGTTTTTATTCTTTTTTTGTGCTGAATGTTGAATAAATTAAGCTTTTATCATCGACTCTGCTTAAAGCCTTTTGATAACCTTCACAGTCTGTTTAGCTTAAGTCTTAGTTTTCCATTCCCCTTGGATAGACTGTTTCTCTGGACGGGACCCTCTTCCAACGGTCAGGCATCATTTCGGGTGGCGCGAGGCAAGCTTTACCTTTTCCATTTTGTTTTTAAAATCTGAATGATAATTCGGGCATATATTTAACGCATAAGACAACTAGGATTCTCTTTTATCCGTCAACGGTACAAAATGTTCAAGCTAGGATCTAGGTCCCAGAACCAGCCATGTACAATCTTCATTTTTTACCCTTCAGCGATTTAAAGGCAAGGGCTAAACGTTGGGATGAAAAGCAAATAAGTTCCTTGATGGCTCGTCGCGACGCGCTGCAAGTCGAATTGAAGGAGCAGTTGAAGCGGAAACGCAAAGAGGCCGAGCTCAGAACCCTGCAGTCGCAGATCAATGGTCTTGAAAAAAGGCTCAAGTACACCCAAAAGGATAAGGAGGGCACTGTGAGTTTGTCTCAATCGTTTGTAACTCATTGGCGTAACATATTTATGTTAGGGATTTTGCCGACACACGTCGTGGTGTTCTACCTTCAGAAGCTGTTTGCATTCCACTTGGGGTACTAATTGAAGCATCATTCGACTTGTTACTTTTGGTTGATTTGCTTAAACTTCAAGTTGCGCAAGGGAACTTCAATTATTACATAATTGTTTGGATATAGGAAGAAAAAATCCTTATTGGAAACGAAGAGGAGGTGAATAATTTGAAAGCCAATCTGGAAGAGGTCAACGTAAGTTCGCTTTGGGTTTATCGGTTTTGCGTTCCAATTAATGGTACGTGATTATCCTTACTTAAGGAACGACTCAGTATGTGCCAGACGAAGATGCAAGAACTTCAGATATCTATTAATGCTGAAAAGGCAAAGATGGACAATATTGAGGACACCGTGTTGCATGATTTTTGTGTTAGTATCGGTGTGGAGAATATCCGGTGAGACCTTTTGTGCCGTTTAGCTATTTCATTCGTCACTTATATTCGATGAAACTTCTTTTGCAATTTTAATTGCTGCCTGCTTTAGGGGATTTTGTTTGGTAGAGTACTTTGGTTTTGTTTTGCCGAACGTCTTTTGCTTTCTAGTGAATATGAAGATCGAGAGTTACGTATTGCTCGTGAACGCGACCGGAAACGCATGGAGTTTACCAATCAACTTCAACGTATCAACAATCAGCTAGAGTATGAAAAGTCTCGTGATACTCAAGGTAGCTGTTCTAAGATTGCCGTTAATATTTTGGTTATTTACATGGCAAACTGCGTGCATTTCTATCCTCTACCTGTTCTTTGAAACCAATATTTTAGTAGCACGAATAGCATATTTTTGCTTCATAAAATCATTTTAAATCCTATGAATTTTGAAGGAGCCTTCAAATGTTGTCCACATCATGGTTTTTGGTGTATTGGTAGTTCGCCCCAGTTTCCATACTCATTCGGCCCTCGCTTCCCTCCGATCCCATTTTTAAGGTCGTAGTGCTCTCTTATAGCCGCGGTGCGTCGTTGGGAGGAAGCGGTGGTAAGCGAGCGCCAGGAGATGGAGCGTTGTAAGAAGCAGGAGAAGCGCCTAAAGGAGGAGATGGAGGCGGAAGAAATCCATAAAGGAAATCTTGAGTTTCAATTAAGCGAGTATCAACGTAAATGTGAGCGTCTAGACGGTGAGTTAGCGGAGCTCAGTCGACGTCTGGTTTCACGCAAGCGGGAAATCCAAAAGCTGCAGAAGGAGACAAGTCAGATTGAGGCGCGGTTGGAGGCAAAACGCTCTGAGCGTCACTCATTGCTTCAATCGGCCAAGGTATATCGGTGTTCGCCACGCCCAGGGTGTCCATGTCTATAAAGACTTTCGGTGATACTTGGAGTTTCTCTGGTCTCTGGTTTAGATGGAAGACCTGCAGCTGCCTTTGAAACCGGGCGCAAGCTCAATGCCGGAGTTGGAAAGTCAGTTGTCCGCCGAAAGTGAAGGCGCAGATCTTAACTCAGAGGAGATGATGCGACTGTATGTCATGGAGGCTCGTCTTCCCCTAGACTATAAACAACTGGAGAAACCTCTTCGCATGATAGCTGACGACAAAGAAGTTAGTCGAAAGTAAGTCTCGTTGGTTACATTGCATTTGATTACCTAAAGTCAGTGGGATAAATTGTTGTTGCTGTTGGGTATAGGAGCGTAAAACTGAACTTGTTCTAGGCTTTTGGCTTCTTCACTTTTTATTGTTGGGCTAAGATTTATTCAATTTGTTTTCATTTGTACTTTCATAATGTTGATTAAGTAGCGAAAACTTTCTCCTCCTCATTGGTGTTTGCATCCTTTTGTGCGTATAATTACACTACTGTGTAAAGTATTTATCCGTTGATCTTTTGGGGATCATTTTGCGGTCTGTTTTTGTACATTGTAAGGGCGGACGAAATGCAGGCAGAGGTGGATCGGATGCAGAGCGAGCTATCGCGATTTCAGGCACCGAACCTTAAGGCGGGCGCAAAACTGGGTAATGTAGAGCAGCGACTTCGATCTACCGAAGCGGAGTTCGAGGAGACGCGGCGGAAGGCAAAGAAGGCCCGTGCCCAATTCGAAAGAATTCGCCGCCTCCGATGCAATGCTTTCATGAAGTGCTTTCTTTCCATTGCCGACAACATTGATCCTCTGTACAAATCTCTTTCTCGCAATCCCGGAGCACAGGTAGACCTTTGTGTCGAGAATGAGCTGGTATACGTTCTCATGCTTTCGTTAAATCGTGTTTTAGCTTCTCATATTTGAATATAATCGTAGTGCTTCTCTCTACTGTCCTTTCTCACAAACATGCCTGATGTATAGACTATTCGGTCTTTTGCGTCGATCTCCGCTTCTCGAGGTTGAGGAAGGGATCGGTCAACATTAGCATTTGTTTGCGGTTTTTCGTTTGTCATCTTCATACGAATACTTGTAAGGACTTAAAAGGCAGTAAACTTCGAATTTGAGCTGAGCTCATTTTTAGGCAAGTCTGCTGCCCACAAATGCGGAGGAGCCCTACTTGGAAGAATTGCAGTTTCAATGTGTAGCGCCGGGAAAAAGGTTTCAACAGATGGACTCTCTTTCTGGTGGTGAAAAGACTATTGCCGCCCTAGCTCTCTCCTTCGCGATGCATCAGTACAATCCCTCACCCTTCTTCGTTCTCGATGAAATCGATGCCGCTTTGGATAACACTAATATTGGAAAGGTGGCCTCTTTCATCCGAGAGTACTCGCGCACCCGTGCGCAAGTCATCGTCATCTCATTGAAGGAGGAATTCTACTCACGAGCAGATTCTCTTGTCGGAATCTATCCTGATACGGTAGATTTTCTTCTTTTCATACCCATCTGACAGCCTCCATCAGGTGGTGCATTTTAATGTACACCGGATTCTAGTATCATTTGACCATCTATTCACATGGCCAGCCTTAAGGAAACCTTATTTTTCCCTTATTGCGTGCTTCAAAATAGTTTATCACGAAATTTTGTCCGATTACTTGAGGGTTTGCCTTTTGTCTATCATTTTCTTCTCTTCGATATTCAAACTCATGTTTTGCTGTACTTTTGTGGTTTTGTTACCCTACATAGTTGCAAAATGCTTCCGTTTCATTGTTTAAGTCTTTTTAATGTTGTTTATCTTATAAACTTTAGGAGAACAATTGCCTTGTCAGTCGTGTCCTCACATTTGACTTGTCAAAATATGTCGACACAGAAGAACAATGAAGCATCAACTCGTTATGTGCGCTCCTTTTGCCATTATACTTTTGGTTTCACTCTGTCTGTTTGTATAGCTATCGGCATACATTTTTCTATGCTTTCTAGCATCTTCGATTCTGTTGCTTGTTCGCTTTTCCGTGTTAATAAAATCTTATCGTACTACGGTCAATTTGTTCCGCTTTCTCATTTAATTGATTTGGTGTGTTTTGTGCAAGCCACTTTACCTAAGTTCAATTCTACTGGAGTTCGTTGGCTTTAGCAGCAATAGCAACCACTTTGGAGTTATCTATCGTTTCAATGTTATGATGAAAACTGGATTTACTGGTGGTTCTTGGTAGTTGGATAATGCTAATGTCAATCATTTTTGCATTATAACTATTAGCCGCTAAGCGGTGATCATGCGCCTTGGTACTGTGACTACATTCAGTCGTTTACCTTATCCAAGACTCACTCAAAATGATTTTCTTTTGAAATCATTAAGTCTTGATGCAAGATTAACTGCAGGTCGACTTCATTTTTCAGGTGTCCAAAGTATGTAAAGAAATCGAGCATTGCCTCCAACGGTGCAAGAACCTCTTAACTCACCTCGAAACTGAAAATCTCGTCCTCACCTCTGCGTGCACCACTCTGACCGCCGAACTGAGCGTCTCCGGAGACACCATCCTCGATGCAACTATCAAAATCGCACGATTCTCGGGTCAGAACTTCGCAGTTTACATCCACGAGGGCTACGGAATGCCATTAAAATTGCAGCAAATCCAAGACTGCTGGAATAACATCTGCTGTGCCCTCTCGGTCTGCAACGAAGCATCTTTTCGCACATTGTGGGCATTTTTGCAAGGTGCCCTCAACTCTCTGCTCAATCCTTCCTTAAATAAGGCTGTGCCTGGGTTCGAAAAATCGAACCCCCGTGTAAGTCATGATCTGTGTGAATTACCACTACTCACGCTCCTTGTGCTTAACTTCGAATGCCATGGAGTTGAACTAGAGTTTTTGTAGTTGCTGAATTTTGGTGCTGTCGTGTTTCGTGACTTGTTATTCGAGAATTATGACTACTATTGTACTCTATAGCAGACTAACTTCTTAACTCTTTCCTGCAGATGTGTTTTTACCCTCCCCAACCACCTGAAAATTCTATCCAAATGTTCTTGGATGGAGCAGAACTTGTTTTGTGCGTAAATTTTTATTCCCACGACAAGTTTGCCTATACCGGGGGGTGGATTCGTCAATTTCGAGCAACCTGCACTATCGCGCGTCTACAAGAGGTTCTCCGCTTGCTTAGCGAGGCGATCAACACCGTCGAGTTTTGCGTGGACATGGCACCTCCATAGAACCCTTTTTCTTCGTCTACTTTTCCATCTTATCCGTCTGTCATTAATGGTGGGTGACAGAAATTCACTGCCCTTGCGCCGCATTGCATTGTATCTGTACTCACTCTTACTCCTCATTAGCCACATTGGGTTTATACAGCTGCAAGTGCTATTTATTGTGATCTCACCACTTCTTTCACTACCTGCAGTCATTAGTCTCATTTACCGTGATGGTGTCACGCCTTCTAATTGGCCTATTTCCAATTTGGTGCCTAGGGTCTAAGCCAGTGTAGTTGAGTGTACTGTGCCGAATTCATGTAATGTATGGTGTTCATTTGATGGAGCGTTCTCTGGGAAAATTATCTGAGAGGGTTTTTGTACCCTGAAACGTCACCTGTTTATGCATATCGGAGTCGCCCATCATTGCTCCTGAAGAACTGACTGTTATTATTATTCCGTGCGGCTACACCGTATTATTCTCGTTAGCAATGCTCTCATACCGTTTTAGATGATAGGGCAATTCAAATTCCTCTGCTGGCATGCCCTTTGTGAAAACACTCACTGCGTAATTCCTATTAGTGTCCGTCTTGAAAATACTGAGTGGCTTAGACGTTCAGGATGACTGGGGAGTTTAAAAAGGCTCTGACAAAAAGGTGGAAATTATTTATAATACTCCGGTAAAAATATGGTAAACTGACATGACTGCATTTAATTTTGCGAAAATGGCTGCCCTAGCAGGTATCACTCATCACCTTCAGCATGAAATTGAATGCGAGAGCACGGACATTGGGAAATACATTTTATTATTCCGAATTAGACGATATGACGTCTCTTTTTATGGGCAAATTTTGTGACATTTGCTGCCTGAAGGCTAAATAGTTCGGTTAGACAATGGTGGCATAACTCATTTTAAAGTCCGAACAGTTAGGTTGCGCTGGGTTAAAGTAAAGAATAGACATCAAGGGTTATGGATGGATAAGTCTGTGGTATTTGACAAACTTTGGCACTAATTTCTATGCTTTTGAAGCGAGCAATTAACGGACAAGATTACAGGTTTTTTTTTCAATATCCTGCAGCGGCGAGAACCTTGCGTTTGTAACATGCAGAAATGATGTCTATGGTGTCATAACTTCCAATGCAATGAATTCCACTGGTTCCTGGGACCTCGAAATATTCCAATCTCGTGCCCATTTGGACTCGCCTTAGTTGTAGCACCAAATTCTCTTAATAAATGGTTTGACAATGGGTTTACGATTGGAAGTAAGCAATAAAGAAATTGTAAGTCATTAGCTCTAGTAGTTCCCTAAGTTTTTAATGCCCTTCAAAATAATCGGGCAGCACTGCCCTTCGGGGTATCTACTCTACTCATCTGCAAAGCAGTCAAATCAGTGTTGCCTTTTGACAATTCCTATGCAGCCTCATGATCTCATGTGTTTGAAGGAACTTTTATGTTAAGCAGTGTATTTTTTCACCAATTAGTGATTTTGTATGAGTTGTTCCGTTTTTAATTCATTCAACGAACTCGGACTTGTATAGTCGATTATTCAAAGACGCGTTTTTTAGTGGCGCATACCCATTCCTAGTGAAAATGAAATTTTCGATAACTCTTAGATGAAGAAGTTATCTAGGTTGGTGAAGGCACTGATTTGGTAATGAAATCATCAAATGGACTACTGATTAACCAAATGCAAATTATCGGAATAGGAGTGTTTTATTTCCTAGACTTCAACTCTTTAAGTTTGGGGGGGACAAAATGCCTTTTCCATTCGGAAAATTCATCGATTAATGGCGATTTTCTTGAAGAAATGTAAATCATTGGATGGCATAAAAGTTTCTCGAAACTATGCCGCAAATTCCAAAGCCAAAGTTAAAGTAAAGGTGTTGGAGTGATATTTGTAAGAGCTGTCTGTCTGCTCTCTGGTCCACGAACCTCAGACTTCAAGAGAGAGTTGGTTGCAGATGATTTATTAGGCATTTGTTATAGGAAGAATGGAGAATGGGATGCAGATGAGGCAAGTGGGGAGATATCAACTGGAGAGCGACTCCTCACCGACCTCGCGCACGTGATTTCCCTTCCCAATTGGTTCCCGCCTCTCACCTATAAAAGTCCACTTAAATCAGTATATATTACAATATTGACTGAAGTTCTATAAATTCAGAAGTTTAAACCTGCCACCGTTTAAAGTCTCTGATCTGCACAATTGCACATCTCATGTTATTAGCTTGAGGTTTAGCATTTTCAAAATCTATTTTCTTTAACAGTGCTTCCTCTCAGTGATTGCCATGAGGTTTGCATGGATTTCATGTAAGGTGGAATCAATTCCGAGTAGTTTAGATTTTGAAATCAGGAAGATTCGGTGTCTAGGTAGACTGGAAGCTTCAAAGTGGCACGAATTCAACAAATTTGTCTGTTTCATGGATTAAAACAGACTAAGTTTTGAAGTCACAAAATGCTTTTTAATGGGATGCATCACGAATCCTGTTATTTTGTAGCCAAACGCAGTTATACTTTCCTCGCGCTTAAAGACTAGCGCTTACGCAGAAACGAGAGCGGTGCCCTTCGCCACTGAGGCAACAGATGCAGGTCTCTCAGTTTTTTTTGAGTCGTTTCTTAAGAAAATCACCGTGTATCAATGGGACAGCGTTTCCTTGGTATCTAAATGAGGGGCTTTTAGGAAAAACTTTGTGCTTAAATAGGTCTCACCTACCACAGAGGCAGTGCGTCCAGATTCACCAAGCGGCAATACACCTCATCTCTATTCGATCAGCCAGAGTGTGTATTTTGCTGAGGCGTTTGTCAAGTGGACAAACAGATTACAGCCTCTTGTGCATCTCCAGACTGACCTCCTTATCTTTCGTGTTATAGTAGCACTTGGTGTCTGGCAGCTGACGGTGTCATTATATTAGCAAAACGAGGAAAGTAAAATAATGGCTATGTTGGAGGTTTTGATTCTTCGGTTGGATGGTTAGCTTGGATAAACGCCCCTATTACCTTTGACTTTAGATAACTGGACTGGTGGTGAAAGCTTTCAACCGACAAAACCAATCATTATGAGTGTGTGACTTGCCGCAAGCATCCATTAGGTCTCTTGAATAGTCAACGACGATTAGTAATTTACCAATAGATGGTGGGTTGCCAGGCGATGAAACTTAGGAGGCACGGTACTGCAAGGCACTGCTCTACTTGCCCCGTTATGTAATCCGACTAGTAGATGTGACGGAGATCGCATCACACCTTGTCGTTGGGAATTGAGAAGTCTAAAAGGTTCACAAATGATATCCAACCAGTTCATTCGATGCAGGTATCACCTTTGGGTTGATGTTATTCTGCAGATGGCATGAAAATCTGATCACCGAACGGACCAATAAGTCGGCACCCGTGTTCGCTAAGTGCAATGCAGATGGCGTATCCACCACTTGCAGTTTTAGCAGAAGCCAGAAGATTTAGGTCACTGATTTGCTCTACATTACTTAGAATTTATTTCAAGTTGGGACAGGGCATCTTTTTGCTAAACTAGGCTCGGTCATCTTGTCCCACCAAAATGTTACGCTTTAAATTACCCTGTTTGTGCGTCGCTTCTATCATTTATTCGTTGCGTTACTGGTTCCACCTTTCAAAAATATTTTGTCAAATAGAGTCGAATCCAACCGAACTCACTAACCTCTTTTGATTTTGGGTTATTGTTTTGGATTTCAAATGTCGTAGGGGCAGCACCATTTCATGCATTTCACCATGATTTCATTTATGAGACTAATTATTTTTTTTACGTCAATTCCATCCTGTCCACACTTTTTATGTGCTAGTAAACTGTCCTTGCGATTGGCTTAACCTTTGGTACAAATTCCTCTACATCGCTTTAGCCTGGTTGTGATGGCTTGAGACAAGTCTCTGTGGTTTCAAAAGTGAGGATCGTTTGACCTTCCTCCATCTATCCTAGTTGAGGTTGGGCTAAATATAACCCTTGCACACTTAGACTTGAATACTGCATAACTGTTTTTCAAGAGAGAGCCTTTATATGCACAGTGTTCAGGATATCACGATAGTGATTCTTAACCTGTCTGATGACTGCGCTTGTCATTCGTTCTCGCACTTCAATTAGAACATATCGTTCTTTGAGGATAATGGGAAGCTGGTAAGGGTACGGAAGGTATCGTTATTCAAGAGCCGTATTTTTTGCTCTGAAAAAGCTATGATTTTACTTGGCAGCCAAAAAGCATCAGAGTAAATGAAGGAGGGAGATAGTTTTACTGTGTGTAGTCTTTGGAGGTCTTTAGCGTTGGCTGTGATGATGATTGTTATTGGATTGGTGCTGGGCGCCATTGTTATGAGGTGTAGAGACTCCAGCACATCAATGTGAGGCAAATCAAATCGGTCTCGTAAATGACCCATCCTGATATAATTTGATATTACACTTATAATTAAGTCAGGTTAGCCGTGCGGGATCTTTTCAGAGTTCCGCATTAACATTTGTTAATTCATGTTTACTATGGAGAATAAGTACGCTGGCTAATCCCATGTAATTGTGGAGAAAGAAATGTCGGATAAGGTAGAGATCCAGGGCCTATTTTGACTTCGCTTTCACCGCTTCACTAAGGACGATTTTTCTGCTAATTAAAATGTTACGAAAATTTCACCAGTAACACCTCAAACCTATGGGACAAGAAGACCGTACTTCTACCCCTCTGTCCTGGTTGGTTGTCGACACTAGTTGTAAGACGAGTCTTTTGCAGCATTGCCCAAAGCCGTATTTTCTTTTGACTTCCCACCACTGCTAATCCCTAACCCACTTGGAATGTGAAGGTACGTCCCTTTATTATTATACCTAAAACTACGTTTAGTCCCCAATAACCTCGAAGACAATTTCTTGGAACTTGCCTTAAAGATTGCAATAACAGTCTTTTACAAACAAGAAACTGGGACGATGAAAGACCATATCGGCACCTGGCTTTGATTGATGGTCTGGAGTTTTAAGTAACGAAATGCGCGCGAATTCGAATAAGGTCTTTTTACTTGCTTAATGGCTGATGTTCTTTAGACCTGACAACTTGTGACCTCGCTTGGAGACTCCAACGACTTCTTGCAATTCGATTGACTCATCTGGTGCATTCACTGTAACGCTCAACCCTTCTACCACGAAGGTGTCAAGATCCACTCTACTTCGCAGGTCTTCAAACCCAACCTACTAGATAAGCAGAATAGTTTTACATACCTCAGTTTCCAGATCCATTTTATACATATCTATGGCAGCAGGTCTGACGTATGGCTCTAACACCTAAAGAGTGGAGTGAATTTAGCTGAATGCTCACTTTGTCCTTGTCAACTGGCCCAGGTTTTTGTTTTGCCTTATCTTCAAAGAAATATTTGGGTAGATTTTTCGCTATTTCTGCCTTAACAATTTCGGGATCCACTTCGTATTCCATTTCAAGTTCCTGGCAAGGTATACTTCACACCGATTCAATGATGGTTTAACTTCTGAGGAGAGCTTTACACTCTCCGGCCAATTTTCGGTCCAAACGTTTTTTCCGACCTATCCTTTTTTAATTTAACTGGATTTTAAATTGCTATGCGGCCCAATGGCAAGCAAAAGCAAAACCAGTTCAGAAACTGCACAACAACTGAGGTATACCAACCGACTAGAAGTCAAAAGCACAAGACTAATACCCTCAATGGTTTTAACTCGAAGCTGGGAACAAGCACCAAAGTAGTCTAGAAAAATAATTATTTGAGAAGATACGTTTTAAAGGTAAAGAAGAGAACAAACCGTAGGGAATCAAGATAAAAAAATTATTTCTTGAACCAGATGACCAATTCGCGCCTGAGTATCCAATCTTTAGACTTCACAAAAGGGGATTCAAACAACTGGCAGCACGTAGACAACATTACTTTCTGTTTCGCTTTATTAAAAGAAAACTACCGTCCAATGAGAAGCGTCTGAGGGAGTAATTTTGGGTTGAGTTCAAACGGAAAGTGAACCAGCAATTCGAGTAATATTAATATATACTTAGCTTTAATTGTGGAAATTCAGTTAAGACAGTGTTTAAGCAATTAAAATGTGGAGTCCGCTACATGAATGTACGATGATTTGCACGAATGAAAGTATTGTACTTGGATAGCAGTAACTACCTCAGCAACCTCGCTTCTGTTTGTTGGGCCAGCCCAATTTCTACTCTTTTTGCCTGAACACAAGTACCCAGGCGTGTCTTATGCCTTCTATCACCTCAGGAGGCTAGAGGAAGCAGCGTTTGATTTACGTGCTTATCGTGAAGTACTTCTATCTCAGTCAAAAGGTTTACATTAACCGATTATTCGCTTTTAAGCCGTCCAAGGATAAGAAATTTGATCTGCAATTTAATATTTTTATGGGAATGTGGCTTATTGTAGAAATTTTACTTTATTGGTCACATAAACGTGCTCTTCCTTAGGAATACAGATCACTTTGATACTAGTGTAATGCGTGTTGTTTGTTTGAAGTGGGTTTTGGAGGAAAGAGGCGTGGATTTTAATTCGAACGCCATAAAGGTGCAGTGGATGCACCCTTTCCAGGCCTAGTCTGGATATCCTTGGTGTGCCTTTGCTCCTTTGGATTTACACCTACCTAGGAATGCCTAATAAATCATCTTCAAGCAGGCCCTCTTCTAAGAAGGCTTTAAGGAAGGAGCTATCACTGGGTCTTTTTACCTATTAACATTTTCCATGATATTCAGCAGGAAAATAAGGTAAACTTTGACTACACTGCTTCAGTCTACTTCATGCATTTAATGTGTCTAAAATCCCAATTATGACATTTTTTCATAGTGCTTTGTTTGTGTGACTTTCGGCGGTCATTTTAGGGTTTGTCTGGCCATCAGGCCATGCTCAGGTCCGTCTGCTTTGTTCTCTTTGGAAAACATACATCCAGTTTCACTTACTGACTTCTTCCACTCTATGGGAAGTCTCGGGGCGCTACAACAAGCAACGTCTATTGTCAGCATGCCCAACTTTTAACTCAGGAATTAATAAATTTTGGAGCCATGAATTCCAAAAGGTAATTTTTGAAATCCACTGGTTCATTTGAGAGACACTTATGTACTAGTAAAGAAATGAGACCATGCATGGCGGTTTATTCGAGTGTGCATTTTGAGGGGTGGTTTGAAATGCGATCTCGTTGCTGTGTAGTGTGCGTGCATGCTGCCATACTCTAGCAGTCCAGACGCCTAGTTTCCACGTGCCTGTGCCTCCTTTCCGATTGAGTACCTTAAGGCTAGTCCGCAGTACGAACTGCTATTCTACTCCGACATCTGTCCGACAATCGTTAGAAAACTTACCGGAATAGGACTTTTTCACTGCGTGCTTTTCCATCACATAAGGTGCTTCATTAGCATTATGCAGAATGTAATATTTCAACACACGGAAACACTAGCAATACGCCTAGTAAAATGAGAATCGAATCTGCATTTGCATCTCCATAAGCGATTGTAGATTAGGCTTTAGCAACATCGAATAATGCCATTCTTCGAAGTCAACCGATTACATTTTATGCCATCAATAATCTGAATGCTATCAGCATTTGAAGTGTGTTCCAGTTGAAGATTGAGCTTGATGGTTCATGCTGAGTTGGTATTTTTTTTACTTGTTTTATTATATCTAGGTGTTACTTTGCATGACTAAGGATCTCACATCGCAGCTTGAAGGAAAATTCATTTCTCGCCGTTGGTATGCTGAGGAGGTAGGCCGAGACTGCCACCTGGCACCATTGCCAAGGGGTGAAAATTGAAAGAGTTTGCGTGACTACTTTAGCTTGGGGCGTGTTTGTCTCCATGTCAGTGCTGCTCGTGCACCCAATTCAGGGTAATGGTACATAATGAAAGAGTCAGGTAAAAACTTTGCCGCTTTTTTTAAACAAGAAGGATAAAAAATTACAGTTTTCCCAGTAGTGATTTTGCTATTAATAATGTCAAACGTAGTTGTCACCAAAGTGTAATGGCCATAGCATCATGTGTTGTAGCTCGATTGAATTTGGTATAAGAGTAGAGGTGCCTTTGCTTGTGCTACCGCACTTCTAAAGAACACGAGTTCGCAGAAATGTAAGGTTCCTCCTTCGTTCGACTTGGGTAGTTGCAGTAACGTCAGATTACATGGTCTCGTAAGCACGCAAGTGTCTCCGCTGATTTCCACATTGACAGCCAAATTTTGAGCCTTTCCCACCGTTCCGGGAAGGTGATCGGTATTACGTAAGCCCACAAATTTTTGAATAGCTAGTTATCTATTACTCAATTTTCGATAATGTATTAAAACAAATTTAATTGCCAAATTTAATTGCCAATCATCATCCAACCTTGAGCTTGGACAATTCAGTAGGTGAAGGTTGATATTTATTATTATTTTGCTTCTAACGAATTACCTATTCCTCTACTAAGTAGCGTGCAGCCCATATTTCTCAGTAGGCAAGTAAAATCCTCAATAGATGGAGTTTCAAGCTTTTGCTCCTTCACCATATTGAAGGTTCAGTGAAGTGTACCTGAATTCGGTGACCCATTCAACGATCACGCTTCCGCTATCTTGAAGCCATAATTTATTTGTCCATGTGAATTATAAGACTAGTGTAAAACAATTGTAAAACTGCAGAGCCCTGATGCAAATTAGAATTTCCTTCGAAATGGCATTCCGCATAGGCCCTACAGTTGGATGCGTTTTGCTCTGGTATCGAAAGCGATAAGTTTTCGCGGCTTAGTCTGATGTCGCCTCTACGAAACTCCCTTCTACTTCTCGTTTGGAAAGCTTAAGAATCTGTCGTCTTTGAGACGATTCGTTGCAAATCGCAGCATAAAGTATGCGAACTGTGTAGTACAGGAGGAAAGAAAGGAAAGTGTTATTCCTGACCCGGACCCGAAGGCTTGTTCGCTTCCACAAAGCACGACGTTTGATCTGAATCTCCGTCTTCAGCCTCTTCAGTGGATTTAAACAACTCACGTGCATTTGAGCTGTGTCCACCTCCCTAATTATTTAGAAGTGAAATCTTGATTAAGTATTCCTCACTTACTTTGTTCACATAGGCACACAATGCAAGAGGCTTTCAGGATCATTACTTTAATGTCCGTTTACTAACAACATGTAATTGTTACAAATGACGCTGGTGAAAAGAGCCCTCGAGGTTAGCACTTTACAATGCAAAAATAAACCAGGCACCGTCGAAAAAAGGATTGGTAACATTGCAGATGTTAATATAATTTGTGCTAACTATTCTCAATATGCTTTTACGACTGATGCGGACGAGATGCATCAATTATAAAATCTAAGGCCTTTGCCTAGCTTAGTGTAATGATGAACCGCCTCTCGGACATTCGTTTGCTCTCATCGAACCAGACTGAACAGCATTTGCAATATTATTTTGAGAAAACATATCATCATTACTACTTATTTTTGGAATTAGTAATAGTTTCCACCTCGTTCAAACTATTTCATCGCCGTTATTTACTGCTTTAGAAGAAGCCATAGCTACTTTTGTCACACTAACCTTTTTGATGCGCCCTAAGCGTGATTTTAACATAGAGTTCACACAACCCAATACTGGAGATTAGAGATGGGCCCAACAAATCACGCCATTTCAGCGTTTACCTTCGTGTGCGCCAATTGGTGCCTCTTGCGACCTTGGCGACAGGTACACACCGGCTTGGTAGTAAGACTGTCTGAAGTCGCGACAGTACAATACAATATTCTCTTTCCCCCTCCTTCCAGAGAAAATCCCTACAACCATCTTCCGAAGTCGGATCTGTTGCCTCATCTGGAGGTCAATAAAAACGTCACTTGGAGAATGGACGCACGATTGTAGTGAGTGAGGAGCGGCATGACGTGCGGCGACACCTCAAGCATCATCAGAGATCGTCAAGGTAGAATTATTTGGATCTCTGAAAGGGCACACCTCAATCACCACTGGTTATGCACTGTAACTCTAGTTTGCAGTGTGTACTTGAGAAGTTGAGCCCGATATTAATAGCCGCTAGAGCTAACACTATTTACCAACCTTTTGGTGCCTGTGTAGTGACAAAAAACAAGAACAATTTATTGAGGGCATGGCTAAACATCTACCTTTGTATCAATAGGCACATCCGACGTATAACGATTTCGCAGATCGTGAATGGTAATGGCATCTTATTGTACCCACCCGATCTTCACGAACTAATAAAAAATGATTCGCATTCGATCCTTCCTTTTGCATATGCTTCTATCATAAGTCCCCATGATCCCATCGCCAACGAGCATCAGAACGTTCTGCGTCCTCTCCATCCAGCGTTTGATATACTTGGGTAATGCTCTTCCCGGGCGTCCCATTCTCAGGGATTGGCATCTTGCTCTTGGAACACTCATGCCTCTATTGGCGTTTGTAGAGTAGGGCTAACAAAGCCACATCTTCCAGCTGTTACCATAGATCAGCTCAAATGCA